GCTCTTCATCACCCACTACCAGAACCTCGCGCGCATGGCGGATCCCACCGGCGAGGGACCCATTCGGAATGTGCACATGCGGTTCACCGCCACCAGGCCGGATGGGCGGGAAGCGCCTGACAACGGGGCCGGCGCTGATAGTGAAGGCGATGACGATGTTGACGCCGCCGCCGCTGCGGATGAGGAGATTACGTTCCTTTACGAGGTGGCGGAGGGCGTCGCGCACAGATCATATGGCCTCAACGTCGCGCGTCTGGCGCGGATCCCCCGCAAGGTCATCAATGTGGCTGCACGCAAGTCGCGCGAGCTGGAGAGAGATATGCGGCATACGCAGATTGCAGGGAGCTGGTCGTCTCTTGTCTGATTTATTTACGACTGGTAATGAGGTGGACGCTGTTGATCAGCTGGACCACCTAATCTCGAGCATTGAGCAACTGTAAAGCAAGCCCTGGATTAGTTTTGTTACATCAAATCCGGTCACGTCGCATCATCGAAGCAAAGTCGTGTCGTTTTTGGGAGAATGTTAGCTAGCTGTCTCATAGACTGTCAACCTTTGCAGATGCCGAATGCCGGCGATCACTGTTTCAACGCCTCGCTTCCAGCTGTCGTCAGTTCCTGCCTTTCAGTCCATATGAGTCGTCCAAAGAATGATTATTCCTTTGCCCCACACACATTTCTTCCACCAACCTCGTCCGGAGGCACTACTCTCCCTGTATGGCGGTCGGCTGCCGAAGGTGTCCAGAGTATCAGGCAATTCGTAGCAGCGACCAGCTAATACCATTGCACTGAGAGACGTTGCTGGAACACCCAGAGACTTCGGCCTGCGAGGGACATCGCAGACAGGTTTCTGTCGGGACTAGAATGTGGCTCGCGCCGACCTTGTACGAAACCCGATACTGCAAGCCAGTGTCAGTGGTCGAAAGGGCTGAGAAACGCTGAACGCTGCAGCATCAGACTAACCTGTGACGGTCCTCATCAATGCATCATCCATGTGCGCAAATGCAATTTCCTGTAACTTTGTGGGATTACGGTCAAGCAGGGCCCTTTCAACCCGGAACCACTCGCGTTTTCGACTCAAGAAGCGTGGTGATCTACCCTCCGTCAACACTCCTTCTCCGTCAGTGGCCCATGGCTTCCATGGCATCGTCAAAGTGATAGGACTGGCCATCGGTAGATTCCTGCGCTGGGTCGAGCTTGATAACTCCGGTCACGGGGCTTGTAGCTAAAGGTTCTGGGCCGCTTGTCGGCATCGCGCTGACACTGGCGCTCAAGTTGCCTCCGGAAAGAACACCCGCACTACCAGCTGCTGTAGCGTGACCAGCGTCAACCCATGCGGTATTATGTTGGGAGGCATATCCACGCTCTGCGGCGCTGATCACGGACCAGGGCTGTCCTCCGTAGATGTTGGTGTTCTCATTAGTGTTGGTGTTGGCCGTGTTCCATGCTACGACTTGCGGAGATCTGACAGAACCAGAGCGGTCTTGAAACATGCCGTCATGAAACATTGGGTCGGGATAGGCATAGCTCTGCTGGTAGGGGTGGGAGTGATAGAAAGAGTTCTGGTTATGGCCGCTTTGCGGAAGTGACTGGTGCTGAATACCTTGGTAGAAATCTCGAGGTTGAATCATGCCATGTCCAGGAATGACTTGAGGCTCAAAGCCGTTGAAGGCTGGAGTTGGTGTCCAGTGACTGTGCATGCCATGGGCGAAACACGGAGGAGGCACTATTCCTTGGGGTTGCTGCTGAGGCTGCTGAGGCTGCTGAGGCTGTAGGATACCCTAAGTGTTCATTCGGTCAATGATTTTGTCTATTTTTCTCTTCGCACCAACCAAGCGCAGTTTGCCCCTACGAAGACGAAGACGAAGACGAAAACGAATCGCTTTTTTGCGCGGCGATTAGGCGAAGAGGAGCATTCAAACCGCGTCAAACTTCAAAAGGATTCAAGAAAACTCAACATACCAAGTCAAGATGCGGGGTATAGGCGACGGCATCGCCCGGCCTGGAGTCGCTGGAAAGCCTGCCCGCCACGCCAGACGTGGGATTTCCTGCACTATTTCAGCCTTTGACTATAGGAATGAAGCAGGAAAGCGGCAGGAAAGCGCACCATGCAAGTTTGCTCCGTCATCCTGGTAGACACCATGTTCGTTCTTACCGTTGACAGTAGTCGATTCGACGGTGGACGGGGCAGAATGCTTGTAAGAAGGATGTAGGGAGTCGTTTCGGGTGGCGCGCCGAGCAGTTTCCTTCTTAAATTTTGTCTTGATCGGGGTCTCATCAGGTGAATCAATCTCAAACTCCTGGTCGATTGAATCGCGATCATCAAATATGTCATGTTCTGCCTGCTCCGCCTGCGCAGCAATCCTTGACTTGGCTCGCGTAGCGCTACCACGCTTTGGGCGCCGCTCTCTTGTCCCCTCTTTATCAACGACTACTTTAGTAGTAGCCTGACCGCGAGCCTTCCTCGACTTCTTGCTTGGGGTCTTCACGGCAGCTTGCTTTCGAGGTGTATACTTCCTCGGGGTGCTTTTGCGTGGGGTACTCTTGCGTGGGGTCGACTTGGTAGGCGTAGATAGGCGTCCACCCATAGTAGCGAGAGCCTTGGATCTTCGTTTGAGGATGTGCTCAGAGACAACTGAAGGCTTGTGGATGAATGCTTTCTTTTTAGACGCAGAGCCCTTGAGCTGAAGTCCGGGATCAGCTGGCATCCGGAGGGGCCGGGGTCGGTTATGAAAACTATGGGAACACTCAACGTACCGGACTGACCTCGTCGTCGGAAGGGTCTTCATCGATGTGACGATAGCGTTCAAAGTTCATCATCATATCTGTAACCATCTCTGTGGGATTAATGGCATCCGAGCCGATTCGCATACGCTGAATCACAGAATCATCCTTGCGCTGGTTCCGCTTCTTCTTGCCCTCTTCGGTTGCAGAATCGAACAGATGCATGCCAGGCCAGTACTGACCCTTGAGCTCCGGAACCCTGCGTACATTATCATCATTGTCAGATGCGTACTCTGAAACCATATCGCTTCTGTCTACGTAGTCAGATGCGCGGGAGTTGTCGTAATCGCTGTAGACGGAACCCAGATAGGTAAGATCTTGGGCCGCCAGGAAGCCTGGAGTCACATTTCGGTCGAGACTTCCTGTGGGGTTTAGGCCATTGAAGTCCTGGTTGGTGCTCTTGGGCGTGATATTGAAGTCGTCCATGAGTTCTGTCGGAATGTGTGGCAAGAACAAGTTCCTGCGCTTTTTCGAAGACTATAACTTGTAAGTGAAATTCGGGGTCTAGTGATTGTGGAAGGAACAGCAGTGCGAAGACCACAGATCCGGGGTATTCATATCAAGACTTGGTCCGAAGAAGCTACTATTGAGATGGGGTGTCGACTTACTGTACGCTGCTGTTCAAGGAAGCGTTTACGCTTGGCTGCCTCGACGCGATCCTTCTCCTTCTTTTTATTGTTCTTGTCCAGGAAACGTTCACTCAGCAAAGCCCCGATCCCGTTGTCGTCCTGCCACTTTTGAAACGCTGCGAATTTCTGAGCAGCTTCGACGTCCCCCGGGATGTGGGATCTGACTTCGATATTGCCCTTAGCTCTGGCGTGACCACGCGACAGAAGATGAGTGAGAAGATGGGAAACGTCGGAGTATTTGGGTTCGTTGTCGCAAAGGTAGCACACCAAAGGAAAGTCGGCTTTGTTGCGCGTCTTGGAAATGATAGTAGAAGTGGTCTTGATGGGAGTGCTACGGTTACTGCTGTTTTTGTTGACGTGACCGTGAATCTTTGCATTCACGTTACCCGCTTGGAGTGGAAGGCGCACGGCCACCACTGGGGATACTACCGGAGGCAACTCTTGAAGCGGAGCACCTGAAAGAGAAAAGAAGTCATGTGGTGCCTCTGAAGGGCATTCAGATAGGCCCAGGCCGAAATTCGCGGCGCGAAGTTGCGGGTCTTCCAGCGGATGGTAGCCATCATGGCTGGGAGGCTTGGGGTGAAAGTCGATGGACACATTTTGACTTGTTGTTGATGAGACCAACGGTGGATCCATATTCTGAACAGCCTTTAGTACAAAGATACGAACAACCGTACGAATGAATGTTGATGATAGGCTCCAAAGCCAAGAGCTTTATGCTGGGATACGGCCAGAGACAGGGGCCTGTATTCTCAGATACAAGAGAAGGATCACATGAGAGAAGCGGAATCTGACAGCAAAGAGCAAGAGAAGCGAGTGATGGGTCGAGACTCGATCAAGAGAGAGTGAAAGGCGAACGATTGGAAACATGGTCAAGAGGATGGGCAGACAAGGCCTAACAACAAGATGAGGATTGAACATGATGACTTGCTTTGACTAACGCTTCAGGAGCGACCACGAGGATCAAACGGGGAGGAACGACCGGTTGAACGAAGCAGCTTACCTGCATCGTGCCCAAGGGCGCCTCGTTGATGCATTGAGCCTTCCCCAATGGCATCGCACAGTGAACAGACTTCGGAGTACATAGCTGCGTCAATCTGAGCTCTACGCTCGCTTCTGGGTCAGGGATGCTGGGTCAGGGAAGGACAAGAGTAGCTGTGATGACTGCTCGAGCCTTGCTGGCGAGACCGTGATGTTTTTTTGAACAGAAATTCCCTGAGCAGAATAATTAGTAGAAGATCATTTAAGGAAAGTGTTGTATTGCAGGCACGATGGGACCAATGCGGGGGTGGCGTGTGGACGGGGCTGTCATGTCGAGACACGCCGGGTTCGCCGAAAATTTTAGCACGCTCAACAATGTGGCTCACGTGTCTTATATCCATTCAATGAAGACATGGGTGAGGGAAAATAATTTGGCGCTGTGCACAAACTGGATACATGCTCGCCCCAAAGACGAAGTATGAATGTGATATAAATATGTTGCTATGAGCAACAGGTCCTCTGGGACTAGTTCGCTACCGATCTCGATGAAATACACGCCATCAAAGAAGATCATGGATCAAGGAGGGCCTGCGAAGGAAAGGTGTGCTGGTAGACTAGGGGGGGGAGAGAAACAGCCAACATACCCGGCGGTGAGGCAGTATCTGGTAGATACGGGTTGAGGTAGGGTATGGGCCGATGAGCTCTGGCTTCGGATGACAGTCGGTATCCTTGGCTTCACAAGCCGTGGAAAAATATAGTCGAATTCGAAATCGGTCGACAGAAATCTTCGCGCACCTGCCTGTCTTTGTTCCAGTAAGGTATCAAGACCGAGATCCCGGGGCTTGCCATCTCCCCCGAGAGCGGGGCCGAAGTGGGGCCGTTATGGGCACCAAGACAAGGCAGTCACAAGGGCGTGTCTATCAAGACAACTGTCGGGGGACGGATGTACATCCAGGTGTACAAGAACTATCTCGGGATGCAGAATGAGCCCTTTGGCCGAGTTTGAGCGTCAGTTCGCTGCTCAAATCCACCGCAATCCACATGAGCTTGTTACTGCTGAAGGAATGACCATCCTGTGATGCATGTTAAGCTGACGTGCTTGTAATGTCCTCATGTAGGCAGGCATATGCAACAGAGGCAGGAGGTACAGATATAGACTATAAGCCGCAGCAGAACCGCTGTGTAAGGTCGACGTCATCGCTCAGCAGTCACGTCAGTCACTGAAGAATCTGGGAACCTGGCAGGGTCAATCCATTGTCATATCGAAGCAGGACGTCATGAGCGCATTGGCTTGCGCAGCCGCATCAAAGTCGCAGAGGAGGAAAGGAGTCCAGGCTGGCACCTACCTCGAAAGGCGTCTTTTCTGCCCTTGGCCGAGAAAATACTGTGGCTTTGACGGCACACTCGAAAGCTTTTAGGTAGGCCATCGTTGGGGAGGCCATCCGGGTGCGCGGGAGGGGGGTGTCAGAGGGACGGAAATGGGAAAGAGCAACGTTGCTCAGCCTCGTAAGTCGAGTGTGGTCGTGAGGCTCGGTGCAAATCCCCAAACCTACTGAGCCCACCAATTGACATCTGACCACGTCGTCAGGCACTTGCAGACGCCAAGAGATTTGGATGCAACGGCGGGTAGGGAGTCTGCAGGAACGGTAACACACTTAATCTGATGCATCCTCCGAACCCCACTGCCAGGCCCAAGACCGTGGGTCATGGACGGGTTCCCATGCGTCTAGTGCGAGGTGGTTCAAGTACGTGCAGCGGTGATCAGAGAAGGGCGGCCATTCAGGGTCTGAACAAGTTGACATTGTGTTCTACTGCTTACCCAGAACTCGTTCGATGGTCGCTTTCGGCATACAGTAGACAGGATCTACGGCCTCGAGCCCCGGGTACTTCAGCAAACTCAAACCAGCAATGCCAAAGACGGTATGCCATACATCCACCATGTCTCCTGGTCGGTCAGCGATACCACCCAACTCGGGATCCTGCGCCTGGAGGATGAAGGCCGTGAGCTTGTCGCTATCGATCCAGTGTGTCCGTCCGATGATGGAAAGACTACTTAGGACCCACCAACTGTAACAAACGTCTTCCTTCTTCTCGGGCCTGCCGTTGAGACCGCCGCATTCGACTTGACGCTCGCTCAGCCAACGGCCGAGCTTGTCGACGTCGATAGCATCCAGCCGCTTGGCAATGGCAAGTGCAGCTACACACGTGAGAATTTGACCGGAGTGCGACTCGGCCCCTGGGCTGACGCCATAGCCACCATCAAAGTTGGCACAGGCTACGATGTGTTCCACTGCTTTGTCGACATTGACGAGGCCCAGGAGACCTAAAAGTGACAACGCATTCAGAGCGCCGTAAAGGAAACGTGTGTCTTCCTCGCCCCACTCGTCGCCAGCAAAGGTGCCTGTTGTTCGGTTCTGCAGGTCTGCGATGACTGCTCAGGATGATCAGCCTGCGGTTGGTTGTAGGTCAATACTCCGGGTCACTCACACTTGCCAACCTGAGCTTTCCCCTTAGCTCGAGATTCCAGCTCGTCTACGGCATCAAGCATGACGAGAATCTGAACAGCACTGACTGTAGAGAGCATATGCGCATCATGCCCAGGGGCTGCACCAAAGCCCCCACTAGGGTGCTGGCATGATAAGACAAAGTCAATGGTATCGCTCCGTGGTAAGGCCTCGGGGTGGCCGAGGAGATGAAGTGCCGTTAGTCCCCAGTACACGCCATTCAAGCGCAAGTGCTCGGTCAGCCAGTAGTCGTATTCGTCCTTCTTGGTGTCAAGGCTCTGGATGTATCTGACATGCGCAGCAGTGACAAGCTTGAGCTCTTCCGGCAGGCTGCCGACGGTTGCAGCCATGGCTTTGGGGGTGTGTGTGTGTGTGTGTGTGTTTGTGTCTTGCGTACAGAGTGGGGAAGCAGCGAAATCCAGTGCGTGCGACCGGGGTTTGATGAGCTGGGTTGTCGTGAGATGATCGACGAAGAAATGAGACGGCGGGCAGGCTTGGACGGGCGTTGGGCAAGACACGACGTCAAGCGCTGCGGTGCTTCTAGAAAGACCAAATGGAGATAAGCCACCCCTTAGGTAATGCAGCGCGGTTGCCAAGCCTCAAGGCTGGGGTAACCGGCCGCCGGGTGCCGATTGAGCAGCAAGAGAGGGGCGATGAGTGGACGGTCGCGCTTGCCCTGTGGGCTCCAGTGCTGTGCAGTTCGCTCGATACGCCGATAGCGCCTGCATGGCCCTGTCCAGCCACACCAGAGCTAAGTACTACCTGCCGTTAACATGCTAGGGCCTCTGAATGGCACGGGTAGGGTCACATGCCGGCGCGGGCCAATTGCTTAGAAGCGACAGGCGATCCCATGGCAAACCCACGGAGAACCCGCCGGCGCATGCTTGAAGAGGCAGCTCCAGTTGGTGAGGCGATTTGTTGACTTGATGATGCTCGACACGAGTCTCACAACTGCCGCATTAGGATGCTCGCCTCGACGCTATCGACCCCAGTTTTGACCCTCCGCATTGCTACCGCATGCCTGGCCGACACTCTGCAGCTTCCGCTCCCCAAGGCATGTCTTTGCCTTCCGCCAGCCTTCCTTTCTGAGAGGAGAAGCTTTCTGGCATGTAGGTACAAAATGGCGACGCGCCCGCATATTCAGAATGTCGATCGATTGCGCCTTCACCTCCCGTCACCTGTTCCGCCCTTCCCTCTCTTCCGACCGTCGCAGTCTGATTTGCTCCCTTGATTCAAGATGAGGACCTCTACCGCATCTCTGGCCCTGGCCCTGCCCGCGCTTGCCAGCGCGGCCAAGTGCAAGCCGTATGTCTCGAGCGAAGCCCTGCAGGAGCTGGTCAAGATCGAGGACCTCATGGCCGGCTCCCAGGCGCTCCAGGACCAGGCCGACGCGCATGGCGGCAACCGTGCCTTTGGCAGCGGCGGCCACAACGCCACCGTCGACTACCTGTACGAGACGCTCACCAAGCTCGACTACTACGACGTCGTCAAGCAGCCCTTCTCCGAGATCTTCGCTACCGGCACGTCCACCTTGACCGTCGACGGTGCCAAGATTGAGAGCGGCATCATGACCTACACCCCCGGCGGCTCTGAGAAGGGCCCCCTTTTCCACGTCCCCGGCCTTGGTTGCGCTGTCAGCGACTTCCCCGCCGAGGCCAAGGGCCGCGTCGTCCTTCTGTCTCGCGGCACCTGCGCCTTTGGTCTCAAGTCGCAGAACGCCAAGGCCGCTGGTGCCATCGGCCTCATCATCTACAACAACGTTCCTGGTGGGCTCTCTGCCACCCTTGGCGCGCCTTTCCTCGAATATGTTCCCACCGTTGGCATCAGCCAGGAGGACAGTGTCCCGCTGCTCGCTAAGCTCGAGGCTGGCGAAGTTGAGGTCGACTTTGATGTTGACGCCATTGTCGAGAACCGCGTCAACTACAACGTCATTGCCGAGACCAAGGGCGGTGACCATGACAACGTCCTCGTCCTCGGAGGCCATTCCGATTCTGTTGTTGCTGGTCCCGGTATCAAGTGAGTATTCTTTGCGTAGACATTTGCTTTGTCAGACGGGAGCTAACAGTACCCCAGCGATGACGGCTCCGGTTCCATCGGTGTCCTGAACGTTGCCGTCGCCCTGTCCCACTTCAAGGTCAAGAACGCTGTTCGCTTTGCGTGGTGGGGTGCTGAGGAGTACGGCAAGCTTGGCTCGTACTACTACGTCAAGCAGCTTAACAGCTCCGATACTGAGCTCGCTAAGATGAGGGCCTACCTCAACTTCGATATGGTACGCAACCCAAGTCCTCGATGACCAAGTACTATCTACTAATGTTCGCTCCACAGATTGCTTCGCCCAACTACGTCTACGGCATCTACGATGGAGATGGCGGCGCGTTCGGCTTGACCGGCCCCGCTGGCTCTGACGTTATCGAGAAGGACTTTGAGGAGTTCTACGAGGCCAACGGAGCTGCTCACGTGCCTTCTGAGTTCAGCGGCCGCTCTGATTACGCCGCTTTCATCGAGAACGGCATCCCCTCCGGAGGTCTCTTCACCGGTGCCGAGGTCCCCAAGACCGAGGAGGAACAGCGTCTCTTCGGCGGTGAGGCTGGCGTCGCGTATGATGTCAACTACCACAAGGCCGGAGACACCGTAGACAACCTGAACAAGGAGGCCTACCTGCTCAACACCAAGAGCATTGCCAACTCTGTCGCCAAGTACGCCCTCAGCTTTGAGTCCCTCGGCCCTGTCGACATGAACCAGAGGCGCTGGGCTGCGGATCGTGCCCAGTTCACCAAGCGTGAGGGCGCCCACGAGCACACCCACTCCGGCCCTTGCGGCGGCGGCGTTAGCAAATAAACCTTTCGCAGCATGCGGTCGACGGGACCTATCACGAGCCACGTCCACGAACTAGCTACGATGTAGATGTAATGCTAATGAGAGATGATGTACAATTATTTTTCCGACCATCACACTTGTGAAATGAGCACACGTGACCCCCGAGTTGAGTGTCAAGATTCGCCCCTCAGCGATCATATATACGCACGGCCAGGTGCTAGATTTTGCAGCGGCAGATATTGCTGTCGAGTTTAGAAGCGGATTAAGAAGCGATGACCAGGTTAATGACCACGTAACGGACACGGCCAAAATGAACTTTGACCTCAAGTCCTGTTGCAAGGTAGCAGACATGTTTCTGGTGGTTATGCGTTTGAGTCCCCTTCATTGGTAGATTTCAGGAGAAGCGAATAGGAGCCTTGGCAGCAAGACCATCATCGATGTGGTCGCCAGCGACTCGATGGCAGGTATCGCCACCTACTCATGTGACCCGTCACGAAATACTGGGTAACCGACATGCCCAGCTCGACGGACGCTCTTAATGTTCACCGATGTGTGGTATCACACCAAAGACGTCGACAATATGACACACATCCAGTCACCGACTCGTCGGTCGAACAACATTGATTTCACTTGCTCGTGACGGATAGCCTGTGGAGCTCTCAGGGAAAACGATGATGGGAGAGGAGAAGCAAACCGCATGAGCGCAAGATAGACCCATAGCATGGCCTGTGCATTGTTGCAGTGATCTAGAACACTCTACACGTACGTGCCCAGCGTGTCTCGATCTCGTTTGCTTTCCCATCGTGTCGAGAGCCTGTTTGATGGGCGATCTACTATGGGGACCGAAGTGATAGGTCACACAATTTGCCGTCCTTCGGCATGGTCCACCACGAAGGAGCGATGGATTGAGGGGTTATGAGGGGGAATTCTTCCATGCGAAAGGAGTTGGTTTCTTCGGCCTGATCTGACTTTGGCTGCAGGCACCTAGCGGCGAGAATTTAAGGGGGAGGGGGAGGGGCGAATGCGCGCGTGGAGAAAGATCCCCCGCGCTGTGCCGGCTTTGGCACTGCTCCGGTTCAAAGGCGCATGAGGCTGGTGAGGGGGCTAGCACGCTGTGCATCTCTAGAAACAGTAGGTCAATGGTAGGCAGTTCTCGGGCGGTACATATGAGGGAGATTCAGATGCTATTTACGGCCTTGTCATGACGTGTGCAACGAATCTAGAACTCCGAATGGCATGTCAGAGCATTCAGCGGTGGATTTATAGGAGGGTCAATGTGAGCCCAGGGGATCCGAGATGAGGGGCGCAAGGGTGTACGGCGCTCTGGTGGGGAGCACGGGATAAGCCAGCGAAGAGCACCAGAGACGCACACGGCACGAGTCATATGGCTTGGCCCGCCTAGGCGCAATCCTGTTTCCAATCCTTCCCGCAAGCTTAACTCTCGCCATTGAACACCGCCCGACAGATTGGCCTTGAAGATCGGAATCGCGGGTATCACAGCTGCTTCCCTTCCCATCAGCCACGTTGATGCGAGCCCAGCTGCACCATCTCAAAGCGATCGGTATGGTTCATCTAGGTACCTAGGTAGGGACAGAACTGTCATCCTGCCCGATGCAACTGCCGCCGCGCCTTCCTGACAATGGCAAGCGGCTCGAATGAGAGTTTCAAGATCGAGGCACCAGGCCACGTTCCTGAACTAGACCTCTCTTGGAGTAGCGTCATCGGGAGTATTCAAGTCTGTGTAGGAGACGAGACGAAGGAACCCTGCCTCTCCGGAGACTGGGCCAGAAGCGAAATAATACGGCGAGCGGAGTAGACCTGATGGCAAATACGGCAGAGGCGCCAAACCTGGCCTGGTCAGAAGCCAATGGTTGGAGTTGGGGGATCTTCGGATTATGGGACATCAGATAGGCTGGGCATTTGGGTTACATTCAGTTGCATCCAGCGGAGCAGTGCTTGCATAAGCTCTCACGGTGCCTTCAGCCTTTTGCTGTAAGTGGCTTGAATCAATGCCGAACAAGTGCTGTGCATGTGCAGCCTTTTTTAATATTTGTTTTTCCGGCTAGGTGAGGCTGTCACGGGGCCTGTGGTCCTTCGGAAGTCTGGCTCCAGTTCTCAGAATAGGGAACTTTTTGTGCTGCCCAGGTTCCGATACCGCAGGTCGCCATGCTTGGATTGGTAGCTTGTCATGACATAAGTGGTTTGTGGTGAAAGGAAGCGGTAGTGGTCGGATCATTATCTGGCAGAGCCCATATCTACCTGGGTAACGGGAGACGCGGCAACGAGGCTGTTCGGCCGTCTTCGTCATGCTGATTTTGGCGACAGGAGCCAATCCAACAAGAACTCTTCAGAAGTGTGCGACTCCTGACGGGCGAGGGCTGCTGTGCGTAGATGACATGATCGGCACTTCCTGTGGGCTGGCCTTAACCTCAGCGAAGCTTCTACCAGCGTCTGGTCCATGGTCTTGGGTCTGGGACTTCTGGCGAGATGAAGACTCGTAATGGGCTTGCTTTAATCCCACAATGCTGGGTTCCAATGCTGAGGCGAGTCAAGCACCGCTTACCCCAGATCTTTCTCTGTGAATCAGGAGTACCGCCGTCTTGACTTTCTGATATCGAGTCCACCGAGTCCACTCGAGAAACCCCACCCTGCCTCTATCGTGCGTCGTCGTCGTCGTCGAGGACAGGTGCACGCGAGACACACAAGAGGGGAGAGCCGTGGGCATCTGGCACAGAAGTGGAGTGCCAGTGCTGTTCCTGTTACAGTGGGCAAGTGGGTTCGAAAGTGGCGCGGCGTTTAGCACGCGCACTAAGGCAACCCCTGAAAGCGGTGCAGCTTTGGTGTGGTGTTTCAGAATTCCTCAGTGGTCGTGATGCGGGCCATGTCCCTGTGACAAATGCTCGTGCTTGTACCTGTGACAGAGCCTGCGCGCTTCGGCCTGTGCCTGTGCGAATCCCAGGCGCTTTCTCCCTCGTCTTCCCTTGTTCTTGTGAGAGCACCCCTCACTAGTCGTTGCCCCTCTAGCTCCTGCTGCCGCCAGCGCTCGCAGGCTCAACAGAGAGAAGCATCGTCTGGATGCATCTACCTAGGTACCTTGCCTTCCTTACCTGAAGCACCTAAGGTACCTTACCCTAGGTACCTAGATACCTACCTTAGGTAGTCAGGTAGATTGGTGCCTACATAGCTGCCCCGTCACCAGCAAAAGAACGTTTGTTGTAAGCAGAACAATCAGCAGCCTCGGACCACCCGTCGAATCTTCTTGTTACTTGCCATATGCCAAGCACCTAGGTAGAGTGTACACTCCCAGACATCAAAGAGTAAAAAAGTGGAAGACAAAGTGCCAAAAGATCCTCGATCTCTGAACACACCATATGTACCCACAGCTTTGCACATCTCTGAGCAAGGGAGACTTGGTATTTCCTCGCAGTCCCCACGGCCTGGAGGCCAGACACAATCATTCAACCGTATCGCATTTGCGCGCTTCATTCGCACCCGCTACCCTGCGCACTATCATCGACTGCCTACAGCAAGAAACCACACGCCTGCCTCGGACTCCACCTGGCGCTTCTCCAGGCTCATCTTGGATCGCTATCTATCCCTCCGCGCCAGCCTGTTCTTCGACGTGAGCTGTCTTGCCTTGCCCATCCAGCGGGTTGTCTCGTGTCTCCCTGACCCTGACCCTGACCCTGACCGGCCCTGGTCCCGACCCTGGCCCTCTCACTTTCTGCTGCTCTCCTCCGAGGACCCTGCACAACACCTTGAACAGAAGCACCTACCTCAGTGCCCGACACTTGCTCCCTCGCGGCATTCTTCGTGGCCCCGGGCAGCAATCTGGCAAGCCACGCCATTCCCGCCTGTTTCTGCCAGGTCAGTCGTTGCCTTGGCTTTGGGACCGCTGCTACATCATCTTTTCGATTCCCTATACCTGGCCTCTGGACCTCAAACCCCAATTTGACTTGACTCGTCCTCTGACCGATATCAATTTTCTTGCATTGTTGTTGCTCTCATGGCTACGCCCCTCTCCCAGTCTGCCTTGGAATCCTAACACCGGACCACCCCTGGATTCTCTTCCGAGCCCAGCGGACGGATTCACCATCACACACGTCCCAGCGCAGCGCGCGCCCAATTCGAGACATCACCTAACCCCCTCCTGCGGCGCCCCTACGAATCAGGCCTAACCCTTCCATACGAATCTCGGACCTCAAGCCTTGGACCTGGACCTCACCTGCCTGGCCAGGACCTTGACACACACATACACGCACACACACGCACACACACGCACACACATACCGGCACCTCTTTGTATCGAACTGCAGGTTGTGGGAAGCCGCCTGTACCTCAATCACCAGCAGCGCCTAGCTGCCTGTCCCAGTCCAGACAGTTCATACCAACTCCACCACCGCCAGGCAAAGCAAAGCGAGGAAAGCAAAGCGCTGCATAAAAACAGCGTACCACCGCAGAGCGCTCCCAGTAGGGTGAGGCACCAGCCAAAAATGGCACGCAAACCCGTACCGCAGCCGCTGACGCTGTCGGGTCACTCCGCCCTGCCCGAGGACGAGCACCACCCGCGCTCCGCTGAAACCCTCCAAGTCGTCTCTCTCCCGAGCGCAGATTCCCACCGCTCGTCCCCCAGAAACACCACGTTTCCCCATTCAGTAGATTCTCGCCCCAAGAAACCCGACTCGGCTTCTCTCAAATGCTTCCGCCTCCCACGCTCATTCGCGCGCCCTCGAAGACTTTGACGACGACGACGACGAAGACCCCCAAAACTACCCCCCGATCACCTCTGCGCTGCATCAGCCTGCCGGAGACTCCCACTCGGCCAAATCCTCGCCCTGCCCCTCGACACGAGCCCAACACCACGCAGCCATCCCAGCCCCGCGATCAGGGTCGCCCCTCCAAGAGCGGCTTCTTCTTCAATTTGACAAAGTCGTCCAAATCGACCCAGAAACAATCCACTCAGCAGCAGCAGCCGCCACAACAACAACAACAACAACAACAACAGCATCAGCACAGACGCTCCGAGTCGCGGGGCGAGATCGCATCGCGAGGCACTGACACCTCTGTCCCCAGCAGCAAGTCTGCGAAGCTTTCAGGTACGGGCAATTGCACGCGCGCGTGCGCGTTCCTTGAACCCCTCCCCTTGTGCTGAAACCCCTCTCCAATGCGACAGTGCATGCGACAGGCACGGCGCCGGTCCCATCTCCAGGCCACTTGCCCTGGCGTCTCGTTTCGCTCTTCACGATGCCTTCTTTGCGCGCACCTGCTAACTGTGTACATTCTGCGCCGCAGACACCTCTCTTCCGGAACGTTCTGCTCAGCAGTCTTCCACCTCTCATCTTCCTCCATCCAACCTAACTCATTCCTCCACAGGAGAATACACCACCAGCGCCTCCCAAAGTCATCTGTCTAAGAAGAACAAGCCCAAACCATTTGGATTACTGGGACGGACCAAATCAGCCCGTGACAACGAGCTTCCTACTCCCAGTCCCAAAGAGTACCGCCAGACGATTCACTCCCCAGTCCAGGCTATAGAATCTACGAGGGCACCTCTAGGCAACAATAGTCCAGGCCTCATGGCGCGACCACAGGGGGCCGATAGGTCATTCAGCAGCAACAGCACGAACAAGATGAACTCCGCCGCAAGAAACAGGTCAGAAGACCGTGCTCCGCCTCTACCACAACGAGACCAGAGTAACAAAGAGAACCAGCGTGACAGAGAACCGTCGCGACAACACGCATCACCTTCTGTTCGCGACAATGGAAGCTTCTTCGGTGGGCTGAGGAACCTCAAAGCCGCAGACATGATTAGCAAAGGACTATTCGGCAAGAGCATACGTAGTGGAGGCACTACGGAGCGGGAGTCCATCATTGATGACGAACATTATGTTTTGAAGGTCATCAACCTCCCTTTAGTGGAACAGACCCGGACGACGCGCATATCACGGAAGCTGGAGGATTCTAGGGATAAGACCGAGTTCTGGATGCCAGCGTTTCCCTGGCGCGCGATTGACTACCTCAACTACAAGGGCTGCGATGTTGAAGGTCTCTACCGAGTTCCGGGCAGCGGGCCTCAAATCAAGAAGTGGCAAAGGAGATTTGATGAAGGTTTGTCTGACTGGGATCCCCTTGCGGAATCGAAACTAACTGGCGTCTAGAACTGGATGTCAATTTGTTTGAGCAGGACGATCTGTACGACATCAACATTATCGGCTCCATGCTCAAGGCCTGGTTGCGCGAGCTTCCCGATGAACTCTTCCCCAAGGCCGCTCAGGAGAGGGTTGCCAAAGAGTGCGCTGGTTCTGACAAGGTTCCTCAGTTGCTGATCGACGAACTCTCCAACCTCTCGCCCTTCAACTATTACCTGCTCTTCGCCATCACCTGTCATCTCAGTCTCTTGCTCGCACATTCAGACAAGAACAAGATGGACTTCCGCAACTTGTGTATTTGCTTTCAGCCGTGCATGAAGATTGACGCATTCTGCTTCCGGTTCTTGGTTTGCGATTGGCGCGAGTGCTGGAGAGGCTGCAAAGCTGAGGCGAAATACATCGAAGAGGAGTACCTGCTACTGAACCAACCCCCTCCACGGGGTGTCTCCGAGTCACGCAAACCTGTCCCCGACGAGCAGCTCCCGGCAACCAACGATGAGCGTGCGGTCGACCGGGCCGTCTCGTCATCAGACAGCAGTAAACAATCGAGTCAGAGCCAGGACCAACAACCCAAGACGCGGCTGAAGAAAAAGGCCCTACCACTCTCCGACTCGCATGGCTCTAATGGTAGCGTCGGGTCCAACTTGACCATGTCGACAACGCTCACCATTAATAGCGACCAAGATGCACCAAGGGGCTCAGGAGATCTTCGGCCACTGTCGCCCATCAAGCCACTGTCGCCCCTCGGTTTCTGAGTCCCTCCATCCCCTGGATACGCGTCTGTTTTCTTGTCTGATTTTCTACTACAATACCCGGGCGGCATTGCATGTACATGGCTCAGCACCAACACAACGACGACACGACGCCTGGCTACTGTATTTCCGATGGCTACGACGATTCGGGCAATACGTGTTCAGCTCACTCGCATCAAAGGTGTATCCTCTGCTCAAGGCTTAGCTGCAGCGTCGTCCACCGTTGTCTTGGCCTATCCGAACTCCTCGACGGGGCGCTAGACTATGTGCACTCACGTAGTGCTGGCTTTGTGATTTCTGTCTCCTCCCTTCTGGTCTCTTGGTCGTGCGTGTTTTCTAAAACTGCGTTTTGTCACGAGAGTTTAGCGATGTTTCTTCATGTTTGGCAAAGGCGCGCGGATAACAGAGGAGCGGTGTGCATTTGGAGAATGCTATACAATGCGTGATATTGGGTGGCACGAAAAGAGCGAGCGCATGCAATGTGAGGTTGGGCGGTCTGTTGATGGATTTATGTATAATACAACATGAGGAGTTGCTGCGGAAGCTGGTGGACGGGATAATGGCGGCATGGGGGCAACTATCCGAGCCTCCCTCCTGGTGGTGGATGAATCGAGATGAGCCGATCGTCGTCTTTCGTTGACCTGTTGGCTACAAGTGACATGTTCTACTTGATCACGTTGGCTGCACATCATGCCTCGGCACGCTGACGCGGACTGAGATGTAGATGGACAAGACGATTTTGCTGGTATCAGAGCAAGCCTTTGAAGGATGAAAAACCGGGGTACATTTTCCCCGTCCCAACGCCGAAACACCGCAATGCCATCCATCCCATGCCGCCGCCTCCATGCGCCCATTCGCTGGCACCCTCCTCTGAGGCAAGCGCCCTTCCGGGGACGGCAACGGCCCTTTCTCCCTGCCGAGCAGCGACCACGACCTATTTCTTCCCCGTCTGCATCGACTCGCGCGCGTTCTTCCTCTGCTTCCGCTCGTTCCTCCTGACCTTCTCCTCCTCTCGCCGCCGCCCGTCGCCGCGGGATCTTGGTGCCCGGCCTTTCGCTGCGGCCTCGGCGGCCCGGGTCGACCCTCCGACGAGCCAGTCGTTCTCGCCCTTCTTGTTGAGGCCCTTGTATCCCCACTTGCGGGCCCACTCGCCCGTGTCCTCGTCGAAGGCGAGGTTGCGGCGCTGCTCGCGCGTCTTGGGCTTGATGCCGCGCTTGGCGGCGAAGCGCTCCCACTTTGTCGGCTCCTTGGCCTTGGGCACAGGCAGCTCGCGGGGCAGAGGGGTCGAGGGCGGGGGCAGGGTCAGGAGGACGCCATCGGCGGTGGCCGTGATGGGGCAGGCGGTCATGAGCTGGTTGATGATGACTGGATTCATGTCAGTATTGTGGACACTATGAAGTGTTTGGTTGATGGCAGGGACGTCGCACCCTGGGCGCCATCGCGGGCAATGCTGGCAAGGTCTTCCTCAATGTTGGACGAGGTGATCTTGAAGGGGTTGGGGTCCGTAGCCTGGAGGAGGCCGAGGTCGAAGTAGTACGGTGTCGCACGGTCGACAGTTACGGAAAGCTTTGCTTTCGAGTCGGTGGTCGCCATTGTGAAGGAGGTCGTCGTCGACGTTCGGGAAAAAAGCTCTTGACGGTACGCCGGTGGTTGGTTCAGACGGGCAGCGGCGGGCGGCGGGCGGGCAAATGGTTGTGAACTTTTCTGGGACTGAAATTTGGAGGGTCGAAAGTGGTGATAAGATAACGAGACGGATCACTAGCGCCGAATTACCGGCTGAGCTGCCACAGCCAATGGCCGGTCAGTATTCGGCGCTCCACCACGCGATCCGGGGGTGCACCTATCGTCTCGAGATTCCTCCTCAACGTCCAAGCTGGATCCAAATTCTGGGTCCGAGCCTCGACGAGCCACCGGTCCGACCTCGAATGGACTCGTAGCACCCCCAATCGACATCCCCTACGATCTAGATACTCGGCCACAATGGCGTCTGTCAACTGCACACGGTGCCTGACGCGGCCAACCTCCGGCCTGCGCCTGGCGGACCGCATTACCCCCATCATCACATGGACCGCCCCCTTCACGACGACAACAGCCGCGGCCGCCGGGCCGTCCAAGGTTGTCGGCAATAAGCCTCGCCAGGTGATCGGAAAACATATCCGCAAGGGCAAGGTTGGCCAGAATTCCAAGAAGAAGCGCGAGGTCGTCCGCTTCAAGAAGCCCGAGCCGGGCGGAGCGCAAGGCTTTCCGGAAGCGCATCCAGCTCAGCAACAACAACGCCGCAGTCGTCCCAGGCTTGCCCGTCGCCGATGCCTCCGCCATGGTCAGCAAGGAAAACCTCGGTCGCATCATCGGCATGCCCGACAAGCTCATCGACCAGCTGCGCGCCCTCGAATCGTTCAAGACTACGCAGAACTGGGGCCTGTTCCGCAAGCCGCACATGCTCGTCAGGAAGGAGACGGTGCAGATGATGGAGAGGTTGAACGAGGCGGCGGCGGAAAAGCAGACGCTGAGCACCGTCTTGACGGGTGAGCGCATCTCGGGCAAGAGCTTGCTGTTGATGCAAGCCATGTCCTACGCCCTTCTCAACAACTGGGTCGTCATCCACATCCCCGAAGGCGAGTACTCCAACCCCCCCCCTTCTCTCTTTCTGTTTGGAATATCTACTGACAGCTCAACAGCCCAAGACCTCACCAATGCGCATACTGAGTACTCGCCCGTGCCTCAGACAACCCCTGTCGAGTTCACTCAACCCGTCTACTGCTTCCACCTTCTACAGACGATCATCAAGGCAAACCACGACATCCTCGCCCAGTACAAGGCCTCGAAGAACTATAGCCACCTGCAGCTCCTCCATCTCCCTGAGGACCCCACGCTCGCCGACCTCATCACTGCTGCGAAGGAGCCTGATTACGCCTGGCCCGTCCTCAAGGCCCTCTGGTACGAGCTGACTGCCGTCCCTGGCCGCCCGCCCGTCCTCCTCGGCCTCGACGGCCTCTCCCACATTATGAAGATCAGCGAATACCGCGACCCGTCCTTCAACCTCGTCCACTCTCACGATCTGACCCTCGTCCGCCTCTTCACTGACGCTCTCTCGGGCAAGACTCCCTTCGTCAACGGCGGCGCAGTCATTGGCGCCACGAGTCGCAGCAACGCTCCTCGCTCGCCGAGCATGGACCTCGCGCTCGCCCGCTCGTCCGCAGCCGCCGCCGGCAAACACTTTGCCCACGGCAGACCCCTACCGCAAGGACTATGATGCTCGCGTGCACGAGGTCCTCGAAAAGGTCGACGTCTTCCACGTCGATAACGTCTCCAAGGCCGAGGCCCGTGCCGTCATGGAGTATTGGGCCGCCAGCGGCATGCTGCGGTCTCTCGTCAACGAGACGACCGTCACGGAGAAGTGGACGCTCGGTGGCCAGGGCGTCATCGGAGAGATTGAGCGTGCCGCGCTGCTGCATTCGCGCATTTAGAGCGGCTTGTCACTCTGTAGAGTTAGATGTACCATGGTCTCTGGCATGTATACTGTATCATATGGATGGTTTCTGTTTCATCTCGTGCGTCTTCCTGCTTCCAAGTGATATGTCAATAATGTGCTGCTCTGACGATGGAGCTTGCCACTTTCCCCCTTGCGACAAAGCTCTGCGGCGAATTAGCGACTTGGTTCTTGTTCTGTGTCGGTTGCGGATGTTTTTCGTGCTAAGCTTGCGGTGTTGATCTGACATCAATATCGTGCTACATGTCGTTGGGTCCCTGTGGTCATGTCCAGGAGACAAATTTCATCACTGTCACCACCATGCACACAGCTCTGTGGAAGGGCCTCAAGCCCCCTGTGCAATGACCTCGAAGTCGACACATAAGATGACGACAGCCAGTTCGGCTATGCCATAGCTGCTCCAGTGTTCTACTAGTATCAGAGACTCCTGGAAAAACACTCAAGACTTGCCCACAGTCCACGATGCTGCTCAACTCCACTACGAGTCGTATGAAGATCTTCATTCCCTTTGCCCCCTTCATGCCGTGCTCCATAGCCACAACCAGCTTTTCGCTAAGATGATCTCAAACACACAAGCAAAATGACATAGAAACTAACGAAAGGGGTTTGCAAACGAGGAAGGAAGGAATTGTACCTTTTCTAGGTACACTCATAGATGGTGCGCAGATCCTGGGAAACCGGTTGACGCGCATTATGAACCGGGGCTTTTCGAAAGTGCATCATTTCGGTCTCGCAGTACAACTTCAATTTCATCACACAACAGGTTTGGGCCTGGGCCTTGATTGTGTTGCGGGAACCAGGGCATGCGTTAGAGGGTGCTCGTACTTGAGGCATCATGATAGTGGAGAGCTGCAGCGCCCGCGATCTGCTTCGAACGCCTACTCCTCTGAATTTGACTGAAGAACAACCGCTCTAACAATCGCAAAGCATTTTGTATCATGTATTGACACTCTTCTCTTGCAGCATACCTTGTAGTAGACAGGCTTTACTCCATAATATACCTAGTCGAACAAACAAGATTGAAGGCCAGTAGCCGTGCCCACAGACGGATGCTTCCAGTTGAGAAATATTTATCCAGACTTACTCGTCTAGACGGGGTCTTGGGACTCTGTTTCAATATCTCCCTGCTGTGCTCCCCTTCAGGTCCTTGATGATGTGTGAGCAGACTTTCAACCATATCACGTTATATGCATACAAACCCGGCCACCAGCGTGGTGCGGCTTCAGATGTGACAGGTACACATGTCTGATCTAAATACTTCTACAAGCCGAGATCACGCGATCCATGCCCCAATAGACATGAAAATAACTGGTTATGCCAAATTTATGAGTAATTCCTCGCGCATTCGCCGCCCTTGTCAATTCTGCGTGCATGTGTGATCATCTTTCCCTGGTGAAAGATGACATATAACGCGAGGCGCAACGCTGGAACATAGCCAAGTGAAATGACTACAATGGTCATTTTCATAGGTCTTGTGCTTGCAATCGGGGTCGAAACCGTTTGAAGGCAATTTGACCCAGGCTCAGTGAGAATGGGCAGCCGGATACCTTAGACTTCCATACAAAGGGGAGGATGGTAGTAGCCACATTCGTGGTCCATCTTTGGCTTAGTCATAATCCTATTAAACCTGCAGTGGTGGGCGGCTTCCCACGCGACGCGAGAAAACGCGTCTTCTCGCGTTACTAGCATTCCAATTTGTGAGACCAGGCAACCCCCTGGCAACCAACAACCAGCGACGTCCATCCAATCCATCCCGTCCTCCATCCCGCATCTCAGCCCCCCACCGACAGAGCTTCTTGCGACGCGCATTTCTCCTTGTTGCATTTGGCATCGCATCGAGCGGCTCCATCTCCTTCTCTGACGGATCACAAGCTCTGCCGACAGTATCTGCCCATCCACAACTCACGATGGCGCTCCGTCAATTCAAGGCGCCAGTCCAGTACGAGGCACAGCTCGGTACACTTCCCCGCGATTCAGCATTGACATGGCGACAAGTACTGACTACAAACACTGCAGCCGCCTTTGAGTCATTCCTCAAGGACTTCAAAGCCACTCCCGAGCAGACCATCACACATGCCCTCGGCAACGTAACAATAAATGAGGATGACTTTGACGAAGATGACGATGTCATGGAGGACGACGAGGTTGCGGAGGAGAGGCGCCGCCGCCAGAAAGAGGCGCGCACTCCCCAGCCAAAGTATCAGATTATCCTGCAAGAGCTGGCGGATCGCAAGATCAACGAGGTCATGCTAGACCTGGACGACCTTCACGGGGTCAGTATTTCCCAATGCGCTGTGCACCGAGCAATGAACTCACACAGAATCTAGTGGGAGAAGTCATTGGAAGCCGACACAGGCGAGCGCCTCAAGCTGGTCGAGTCGGTCGAACTGAATACCAAGCACTATGTCGAGATTTTCTCGAGAGCCATTGACTCGCAGATGCCGGCGCCAACGAACAAGGAGTCGTACGTCTGGCCCTTCGCGACTCGACTGGTCCAATTATACATTGCTGACATGTGAAAAGCTTCAAGGAAGACGTTCTCGATGTTGTCATGAGGCGGCGAGAAGAACATAACCAGGCCATGGATGTGGCTGTCGCGAATGGCGATCTTCCTGCCGCTGCCGAGCGCTTCCCCGCAGAACTGACGCGCCGCTACACCCTGGCTTTCAAGCCCCGGACCCAAACTGTCGATCACGAATCTAAGGCCATGGCCGTCCGTGACGTCCGCGGCGAACACCTGGGCCACCTCATCACGGTCCGCGCCATCGCAACCCGAGTGTCCGACGTCAAGCCTGTTGTCTCCGTCAGCGCCTACTACTGCGAGGGCTGTGGCAGTGAAATCTTCCAGCCTGTCACCGACAAGCAGCACACTCCCTTGACCATGTGTCCCTCGGAGACGTGCAAGAAGAACCAGTCGCGCAGCCAACTGCAACCATCATCGAGAGCGTCCAAGTTCCTCCCCTTCCAGGAGGTCAAGGTTCAGGAAATGGCTGAACAGGTTCCCATTGGCCAAATTCCTCGAACACTCACTGTTCTCTGCTACGGTTCCTCCGTACGCAAGGTGAACCCTGGCGACGTTGTCGACATATCCGGCATCTTCATGCCCACTCCCTACACTGGCTTCAAGGCTATGAAGGCTGGCCTCCTCACCGACACATACCTCGAGGCTCACTACATTCTGCAGCACAAGAAGGCCTACTCCGAGATGATCATTGATCCCGCGCTTGTGCGGAGGATTGAGCAGTACAGGCAATCTGGACAGGTGTACGAGCTGCTTGCCAAGTCGATCGCTCCCGAGATCTACGGTCACGTTGACGTCAAGAAGGCTCTCTTGCTGCTCCTCATCGGTGGTGTGACGAAGGAGGTCAAGGACGGCATGAAGATTCGTGGTGACATCAACGTCTGCCTTATGGGTGACCCTGGTGTGGCCAAGTCCCAATTGCTCAAGTACATCTCAAAGGTCGCGCCGCGCGGCGTGTACACTTCTGGTCGTGGTAGCAGTGGCGTCGGTCTCACGGCCGCCGTCATCCGTGACCCAGTGACTGACGAGATGGTCCTTGAGGGCGGTGCCCTTGTCCTTGCCGATAATGGTATCTGCTGCATCGATGAATTCGACAAGATGGACGATAACGACCGCACGGCTATCCACGAAGTGATGGAACAACAGACCATCTCCATCTCCAAGGCCGGCATCTCTACCACTCTGAACGCGCGCACCTCCATTCTTGCCGCAGCTAACCCTCTTTACGGCCGATACAACCCCCGCCTCTCACCTGTCGAGAACATCAATCTCCCCGCCGCCCTTCTTTCGCGTTTCGATATCATGTTCCTGATCCTTGACACGCCGAACCGCGAGTCCGACGCCCAGCTTGCCAAGCACGTCGCCTACGTGCACATGCACTCTCGCCACCCCCCCGTCGCCGGTGAGGACGACGTAATTTTCAGCCCTCATGAAGTCCGCTCCTACATTGCCCAGGCGCGCACCTACCGCCCAGTTGTCACGGCGGGCGTCATGGAATACGTCAGCAAGACGTACGTCCGCATGCGCGAGGCCCAGCGCCGCGCTGAGAAGAAGGGCGAGCAGTTCACCCACGTCACGCCGCGAACTCTTCTCGGCATCATTCGTATCGCCCAGGCCCTCGCGCGCCTGCGCTTCAGCAACCTCGTGGAGCAGGACGACGTGGACGAGGCGCTGCGTCTGCTCGAGGCCTCCAAGGAGTCGCTCGCCGCCGATCAGGGCACTGGCCGCCAGAGGCTCAACCCCAACAGCAGAATCTACAACATGGTCAAGGCGCTGGCCGACAGTGGCGCGTGCAGGCCTGACGATGCGGACGATGACGACGAGTACGGCGTGCTGAGCTTGAGGAAGGTCAAGGAGAGAGTCATCGCCAAGGGCTTCACGGAGGACCAGTGGCTCGCCGCGCTGGAGGAGTACAACAGCCTCGATGTGAGTATACCCTCTTCCACCACACGTAACCCGATTGTACTGACACGGCCGACAGGTCTGGCAAACTGCTGGCAACATGACGAGACTCGTGTTCATCAACGCCTCTGGCAACGATGCCGAGCGTGAGGGCAGCGAGGATGCTTAAGGAGCGGGGTCCATGCACAGGGGCTTGTCTCTTTCCTGAGCCTTGCTTGGGGTGATGTTGGCGAGTTTTATTTTCGGGGGTCTGGCGTTGGGATAGGGAAATTCGATCTTTGTTAGGTGATGAGTAGCCTTTCCGTTGGCGAATACATGTCGAGTAGACACGATTGCATTTTTTCTTTTGTTTGACCGCCGGGCCGTCGTCCGAAGCAGGTGTGTGATGGGCATTTCATTTTTTGACTCCCCATTCTGTTGAGAAGATGATCCCCGGCCAAATGACCAGTCCCGCGCGTGACAGATGCCAGCGCGCTGCCTACGGAAGAATTAGGCTGTGTGAGAGACACCAGCCAAGGCTAAGAGCTTTGGTTCTCTAGTATACGGACTTCCGTCCTAGAAAAAGAATGCAATGCAAAACCAAACCTAGCCCGATCATATTGGTGCATCCTCATGTGCCACTGCAAGTAGTGTTTGCACGTAGCAAACCACCCGTAAACCAGGATGCCATCAAGACGCTCCACAATCCGGAGGAGTAGAGCAGTAGTCGTCAGAAAGAAGAGGGCCATGAAAAGCGAGCAGAGAAGAGGAAAGTGGGCAGTGTCGATAAGTCTTGGGTACCTAGCTTACCTTAAAAAAGGTAGATGAAGATGCCCCCTGACGACCCGTATCTTCAGTGGCCGTCAAGGGGATGGGAACACCGAGTTCGCTGACTAAGACCAGGGTCGCTGCCTGTACCCCGCAGAACCCCAAGCTGCAGGCAGTCTCAGGACCCACTGCTGCTAGCCAGTCCCGAAGATGCCTCGGCGGTCGGCACATGCAACCGGTCGTGTTCTGCATCGCAAGGTTCCGACTCGAAGCTTGACTGACGATCACCACGAGCTTGAACGCGACATTTGCTTGAGCATGCCTCTTGCTTCAAACACCGACTCTTAACACTCCAAAACCAGGGCGCTGTATCACCCTGCCATATCTCACAATGGCACCCCGCAAGAACGCCCAATCCACACCAGCCGAGTTGTCGCTCGTTCACCTGCGCAACTGTCTCGTCAACCTCCCCTCCTCGCTGGTCTCCCTCTTGGTCAATATTAATACGGTATGTTACCTCAAGGGCAACAACAGGAAATTGCGCTGATACCTCATAGCCTGCTCAGAATGTAGTTGTCGAGCTCGCCTACCGAACCCCCCCGTCCGGCGGTGCCCCTTCCACCCCGCCGCAGTCCATCTTCGTCGGCTGGACAGGCATGCCCACCAAGCGCAAGGTCACACCCGTTGTTGGACGCGACGGCATCAATGGCATCAGGGGGAACCCATCCTCTCGCGACCAGGACATTGGTCTTGTCGAGATAGACGCGACCCTCGCCAATACCCTAGGCCTGACCGACGGCCAGAAGGTCACAGCCTCGATTCACGTCGACCCTCCGCTGGTCCACACCATTAACCTTGAGCCTCTAACTCCCGAAGACTGGGAGATTATTGAGCTTCATGCCACATTTCTGGAGCTCAACCTCCTCTCCCAGGTCCGCGCACTGCCGAATCCAGCCTTCAAATCCGCTTCAGGCCAGCCCGTGCCAGCCCACGCCTTGACTCTGCACCTTTCTCCGACCTCCACCGCGCGTATAAAGACAATCTCCCTCGACCCTCCTCCGCCAGCAGACTACCCATTCGCCAAAATTTCTCCCGACGCCGAGGTCATCGTCGCTCCCAAGACCCGCCCGAAAACGACCCAGTCCTCGTCCGAGAACCGCAGCGTTGCCAGCACGTCCAAGTCGCGCCGCAGCGGCACCAGCTCCGGCCGTAAGAAGAGCACGCGCGAGCGCAAGAACAAGATCACTCTCCGGGGTGTCGACAGGAATACGTGCCTCGACTGGTTCGAAGAGGAGGTCATGGCGCCTGACTTCAGCATCTGGGTCGACCACGATCTACTGCATGCGCGGGGCTTCAATGGCGTCAACTATGTGCTGGTGACCGTGCTGCGCGAGTCTGGGAGCGTGGCGAACACGACTCGCCCCCAGGCGGACGACCCAGCGCCGGTGACTTCGCATGTGGCGACAAAAGTGGTCGCCCACCTGCGTGCGTGGGATGATCCGCCGGACAGCAAGCCTGCTGCTCTGTCATCGCCTCTATGCGCGGCCTTGGGCTTCACCGGCATGGTTGGTGGTATCATTGAGATAGAAGCAGCCTCGCAGCCTGTGGGTCGGGACGCGGTGCAGAAGCTCGCGGTCTATCCCTTTGCCACATCCAAAAAGACGAGCGAGGGCCTCAAGTTTGGTTCGGAATCCAAGGCCGAGAAGGAAGAAGCTGCAAAGACGTTCAGACACATCTATGCGGGCTCTCAGAAGACCTCGTCACTCCTTGCGGGTCCTCTCACCGATGGCACGCTGTTCGGGTTGTACGACGGCCTCGAAAGCCCCCAGGGGTGGGAGGGTGGTGTCATCAAGTTCGAGCCGGCACCGAGCTCGCCTGACTCGAAGGAACCGGGCAGGTGGACCCTCGGAATCAGCGAAAAGACTCCCATCGAGTTTCAGGCTCCTATTCCACGCCCCGCATGGATGACCGAGGACAGCATTGCGGAGCCCCTGCCTTCATACGATGGTCTCCTTGTTAGCATCGATAAGCTGCTGCTGGACCTACAGTCCCCACCTTGTCGAACCCTATCGACGAGCTCTTAACCCGGTGCCTCGGGTTCCCGGCAAAGACTTCCGTCGCAAAATACGTGGCGCAGAGGCTGCGCGAAGACTCCTTTTTCCACACAACCTATTTCTCCTGCAAAAAGCTTGTCAACGACGAAAGCCGAATGGCCTCCATCAGAACAGTTCTGAATCAGCTGTTCCTGACGGCCAGCTGGGGGGCCAAGTTCGGCGGCAAGGCTGTGATTATCCTCGACGACCTCGACACATCGTGCCCCGCAGAGACGGAACTCCAGACAACGGACAACGGTCGCAGCCGTCAGGTCAGCGAGATCATGAGCTCTATGGTCAGGCAGTATTGCAGTGCCGAGAGCGGCGTAGTGCTCCTAGCAACAGCGGAGGGGAAAGAGGCGCTCAACGAGATCATTGTGGGAGCCAATGTCTTTCGAGAGGTTCTGGAGGCAAAGCGCCGAATA